TCTTAAGATTTCGCGAGAGCTCGCGCGGAAGCTTTTTTAGCGAATCAGTGTTGCGAAACCATGTGGTTTTGTATGTTTTTTGGAAACTCGATTGCGAAATCACTCCGGCACCGAAGGTTTTTGAAGGATTTCGGCATGCGCGCGCGACGGCGCGCGCGTGTGCACTTCGACCCGTTTTTTTGCAAGGGATTCGCGAAACAGTGTTATGTTAGAGCAACAACTGTCACCGCATGTTGTTTTTAACACGGGAACCTCAGGGGTGGAAACGGGCCTAGCTGGGATGGTATGATTTCATTTTTAGGATGGACGAGTGTGCGGAAAATATATGAAATCATATTATCCCAGGGGGAACCGATAAGTCCGGGGGAGGGGTAGAGCCTATTCTCTTATTAGATAGGAGAATCCACGTGTGGCTCCCGCGCCTCGAGCTCAGCCTTCGCCTCCAACCGAAGCTTCTCCACCGAAGCTCGCCGCCTGCGCCTCCACAGTCCCGGGCCTCTCCACACCACGGCCCACGTACACGATGTTTTTCACTCTGCGCCTCCCACTCTCGAGCGCGGAGCTTTTAGCTTTTTGGCGCAAGAGGCCCGGCCTCCCGCGTGGCGCCAACGCGACGCCCACGAGGCACCCACGCGTGGGCACGCGGCCACACCCGCGCGGACCCACCCGGCGCACGCGGGTGCCCACGGGACGCGCCCGCGGCGCGGGCGCCCGGCGAAGCCCGGGCGGCCCCACCCAGGCGCACGGAGCGCTCACGAGGCGCCCGCGGCCGGCCACCGAGAGGGCCTTTTTCAGGAGGAAGAAAAAAACACAGACACTATGAATCGTCGATTCCACAGAAAAAAAAAGGAAAATATGGGAAGTGGGGGGGGGAACAGAGGCCCAGAAAATATGGGAGAATATGGGGGATCCTTTTATTTGTGTGTATTTATTTGTGTGTCCAAGGGCTTCTTCCTACGAGGCGCCCGCGGCCGGCCACCGAGAGGGCCTTTGGCCAAACCTTGGCGGACCCCTCCAGCGCACGCAAGGTTTGGGGGCGGCAAGTAAAGAGGGGGGTGACGACTAGGGGGGGGTGGATATCATGACGGGGGCCATGATACTTCCCCAGATATCATGGCGCCTCGTCTTACTTCGTTACGTCCCTGGGCCCTCCGCTGGGCCGCGCACGTGCCGCCGGTCATGATTTGCACCCCCCCTCTTGGACACCCCCCTCTTGGCCGCTCCCGACGTTTAACGAGGCGCCCACGGCCGGCCACCAAGAGGGCCTGTGGCCAAACCCCGGCGGACCCCTCCAGCGCACGCAGGGTCGGGAGCGATACTTGGAGGCGCGGGGTAGGCGACACGGAGCGGAGGGGCTCGTCGTCGCGGCTGGGCCCGCCTCGAGACCCCGGTCGCTGCGCGCGCCCCGGGAGAGGTCCGGAGCCGGTCTTTGTGTTCAATCGGGCGTGTCCCTCTACGGGAGGAATAGTCAGAAATATCAGCAAATCGTCAGAGGTAGTTTTTTGGGGGGTGGGGAATTTGGACTAGTTTTGAATATTGGTTTACTTTGTCCTGCATAATCGGCCTATAGGAGGACATGCCCCACTTAATCTTCGTGGGGGAGGAGGCCCAGGGGGGCGGGGCGGGACCCTCGCCTGCGAGAGCCGAAAGGGAGGGGGTCGGGCAGTGGCGTGGCCTGGGGCCGCCCCGGCGGACGTCCGCGCTGGACTCGGCGGTCCCCTGGGCTGGCCCACGGCGGCCTCAGCGACCCGACTCCCATTCCTTTGCCCCCCTCCCCACCCCACTCCCCCCCCCAAACTCCACCCTCAGGAACAACGACAGCAGAGGGTGGAGCAGTCGTTCTTGTTCACACGCTCCATTTCTTTACTTTTTTTTTTTTCTCTCTCTCTCTCTCTCTCTCCTCTCTCTCTCTCTCTCCCCTTTCTTTTTTTTGTTTCTCTCTCTCTCTCTCTCTGTCTCTCCCTTTTTCCCTACCTAGGCTCTGCCTAGAAGGGTTCTTACTGTGTTTGCTTCAAGGGGCCGGCAGTGGGGCTCGCCCGGGGCGGTTCCCCCAGGATCCGCCCCGCGGTTCCCCCAGTCCCCTGAGAGCTTTAGCTTTAGCTTTAGCTTTAGCTTTAGCTTTAGCTTTAGCTTTAGCTCAGCTTTAGCTTAGCTGTAACTTAGCTGTAGCTTAACTGTTGCTTAGCTTTAACTTAGCTTTAGCTTACCTTTAGCTTAGCTTTAGCTTAGCTTCAGCTTAGCTGTAGCTTAGCTTTAACTTAGTTTAAGCTTAGTTTTAGCTCAGGTTTTAGCGTAGCTTTAACTTAGCTGTAGCTTAGCTGTAGCTTAGCGTTAGCTTAGCTTTAGCTTAGTTTTAGCTTAGCGTTAGCTTAGCTGTAGCTTAGATTTAGCTTAGCTTTGTCTTAGCTTTAGCTTAGCTTTAGCTTAGATTTAGCTTAACTTTACCTTAGCTGTACCTCAGCTTTAGCGTAGCTGTAACTTAGCTGTAGCTTAGGTTTTGCTTAGCTTTAGCAGCTTAGCTTAAGCTTAGCTTCAGCTTAGCTTTAGCTTAGCTTTAGCTTAGCTTTACTGTTACTACCAATGCTGATTTCCTAGGGGCTCCAACTCCTAGGTAGGGTCGCACTGAGATAATTGTTGTTTCCCTTTCTCTCTCTCTCTCTCATGAGCTTGCCTATCGCAGGTCGGCTCGTAGGCTGCACCTGGTTTTCCTGGCGACGCTCCGAATCGCATGGCAGTTGAGGTTGCGCAGTGTGTGTGTGTGGAGGTCGTCATTCTGCAACAGAAAAACCTTAGGGGGCAAAGATACTCCAGATTTCGTAATAAAAGGGAGGGAGTCTGGACCCTCCAAGACAAGCCATTTGAGACCCCCCCCGTGGGAAAACCCTCCAAAACATCGTCCCCAGACCCCCCCAGGCCCTCCAAGATAGCCTGGAAGAGACCCCCCCCGAAATGAGACCCCCCTCCCTTTATTACGAAATCTGGAGTATGGGGACATAGACAAAGAGGGGGACGCATCGACGCCCAATGGCCCACGGATCGCCGATGGAGGTCTGATAGCCCCAACCCGCCCATGAACGTGCGGAGTCGCTATCGGGGGCCTATCGCCGATCTGTCGTCGATGCGTCGCCGATTCCAGGTCGATGCTCCCCCCTTTGTGCCAGTCCGCCCCCGTCGATGCTCATCAGACCCCCACCCCTCGAGGGCTCTCCTCCTTGTCGGCGTTTTTGTTTTCCACTCGGCTTCTTCGTCCTGCTTTTGAGTTTGGCATGTCCTTCTTCAAGTAGAACATCCAAACAGAGTCTAACATATTCTGGGGACGATGCTTTTTACTATGTTTGATTATTTTGTTTTCAATCTTCTCATTTTTCGTCCACAATCCGCCTGTAGGGGGACATGCCCAACCTAAGACTCGACTTCTTCGTCCTGCCTTCGCGCTTCCCTAACGGCACGCACCGAGAGGCAACCACGGGGGCCATCGGGCTTGCTTCGCACTGCGAGGCGTGGAGGAAAAGGTCACTTGGGGGTCACCCCTTCGCGTGCGCTCTTCGTGAAATCCATCCCCCCCGTATCCCCTCAGCTAGGGGAACGAACAATGACATAAACGTAAAAACTCGAAGGTCCGCGCGGATTTCTCGGATCGGCGCTGTGGCCCCCCCGGCGGCGCCTCCGGCGCCTCCCCTGGCGCGCTCCGCTCGCCATGGAGGGGAGTCCAGCGTCGACCCGAGAAATCCGCGCGAACCTCCGAGTTTTGATGTTTATGTCAGTGTTTGCTCCCCTGCCATCCTGGGCCCCTCCTTCTCCTCCCCTCCCTTCTGAATCCCGTCCGCCCTTGAAGGTCCCTGTCCTCCCCCTCTCAGGAGGGAAAAAAGCACACAGACACAATGAATCGTCGACTCCCAGGGAACTATGGGAAACACATGGGAATTGGGCGGGAAGACGAAAGCCCAGAAGATATGGGAAAATATGGGGGGAATCATGTCATTGGTGTGTATTTATGTGTGTGTCCTTGGGCCCCTTGACCCTCCCCCCGCGCCTCCCCCATCCGCGGTCAGGAGTGCTTGGCCTCGCGCGCCGCGCCGCCGGCTCTGGCCCGCCACGCTGCGGCGCGCGACACGCCGAGCCCGCCCCGGCCCCCCCCAGCAGCAGGTTCCGAGCTTCTTCCTCCCCCCCCCCCTCCTCCTCCTCCTCCCCCTCCTCCTCCCCTCCTCCTCCTCCTCCCTCTCCTCCTCCTCCTCCTCTTCCTCCTCCTCCTTTTCCTCCTCCTCCCCCTCCTCCTCCTCCTCCTCCTCCTCCTCCTCCTCCTCCTCCTCCTCCATCCCCCCCCCATCCCACGACGCAGGCTGACCCGCCACCAGCTTGCAAGGCACGGCGTGTCGCAGGGGCCGCCACCTGCACCGGAGTTCCCGTGGCCCTACGCGAGCCCACGCAGCCAGGACTGCGCGAAGTCCGCTCACGCTCGGTCCCTCGCCACCCACCAAACCACCCCAGCCCAACTCGAAGGTTCAGATTTACCCTCGAGTTCCAGTTGGGGGGGTCGGGAAACATCGAAGAAACACGTTTGGAACCCTTACCCCCCCAACCCGAAATTCGGGTCTTCGGGTTGGGTTGGGGTGGTCTGGTAGGTAGTCAGTCCCATCCTGGGGTCCATCCCGACCCGTTTTTCGAGATGGAGCCGGCCGTGGCGGCAAGAGAGGCTGAAGAACGCCAGGTCGGGCCGCCGTCCGCCGTGGTCTCGGTTGGCCCTCCTCTGAGTTCTGAAGGCGTTCGAGCATCTATCCTGCCCCGTCCGCTGCCCCTGCCACTCCGTTCCATCATGCTGCGTCCCTCTCAGTCTGGCCCCATCCTGGGCTTGAGCTGAGGTCATCCGGCTCAGTGGCCCTTGGATCGGGCTTGCTAGCCCGTCATCGTCCTCACGAAGGCCCCCCAGGAGTTGCCTCCCAGCCGACCTGCCTCGTCCGCTGCTCCTGCCACTCCGCGACCGCGCGCGGGGGTCCGCGGAGGGCTCGAGCTCGACGAGGACGTCGGCGTGACCGTGCTGTACGACTGCTGGCGGGAGGGGGTCGCCACGGTGGAGCTGCGGCTGATGCTGGGCGGCGGCGCGGCGGGGCAGGCCGGAGCTGGAGGGGAGGGGCAGGAGGAGGAGTCCGGCAGTTCGTTGCAGCGCAGTTGGTGCAGCTTCATCGTCCCTGAGTCTTGTGAGGGATGCTGCGGGGTATAAGCTTTTTGTGGGTTATGCAGTCTGCATCCACGGGGACCTGATCCAGAGTCAGGCCGCCTCCTTCACTGTGCACAGGAGTTCGGTGGCAACTCATGGGAGCCATGCGTGTGTTCTCGGGATTCCGCCTTGAGGGTGCATTAGCGTACGCTGGCGTCTGGTAGTCGATGGGAAACCGCCCATTTAGCGTCGATGGGTGTCGATTTAGCGTCGACTAGCGTCGATTAGGGTCGGTTCGCTTCGGCCAGCGTCGATTCGCACGAGCCAGCAAGATGGCATGGGAGGATCCCATGGGTTGCCACAGAAGGGGAGGGGAAGGAGGAGGAGCAGGAGGAGGACCGAGGACTTCTGTGCGCCTTGCAGCCTGCGCAGGAAAAGTCCAGTAAAAAGGGGGACCGGGCGGATGGCAACGAGGTGGCAGTTTTTTGATCGCGGCCGCCTTGGATCCAAGTTGCGGTCGTGGCTATACGGTAGGCAGGGCTGGGCCTAAACGCTGTTTGATGGATTTCGGCTGTGTTTTGGTTTTCGTTTTGGCAGGGAGGTACCAGAAAATAGGTTGAGCAAAACGAACAACAAAACGACAGCAAAACGAAAAACAACGTTTAGGTCCAGCCTTGACGATAGGGCTGCTGCGGTGCGAGTTGGGCACTGAGGCGGCAAGGACGGCGAGGGAGGGAAGGGACGGGAGGAGCGCGGACGGCCAGAGCGCCCGCGGAGCGGGGCCTGGATCGAGGATTGGAGATCGGGCCCTAGTCCATGCGGCCCGTAAGCTGCCACGTTTCCTTCCGCCCCGGTAGGGAACACCCGAGAGGAGGAGGAGGAGGAGGAGGAGGAGGAGGAGGAGGAGGCATGCAGGCTTTGAAGGCCTTCCACTCGATTACCCCGGGGGCCCTCCTAGACGCATGACGTATATCTGGTGTTCCGAAAAGGTGTGTTCAAGATTATTGGTAAGATTTACGAGGCGAGGCCGTTCTACGTGACCAAGGGGGCGCACAAATCCCAGCAACGACGCCAACGATCGAGAATCGCCCAAGGTTGTCCTCTCTCCCCAGTCTTACCTGTCATGCTGATGACAGTGGTCATGAAAGACGCCACCATCATATTGGAACAGCATACCAGGTACGCGCTCTTGGCAGGAAACTTGTCCGTGTTTCCATATGCAGACGACACGCTATTGGTGGGCCGTTGCCAACACATATTATTGCAAACAACTGCTGGGCGAAAATGCGGCTGCAGGCGCCAGGAACGGCATGCAATTGCATTGGGACGGTGTCCAGCTTATGCACATTAATCGCGACGTGCACATACGAACCCCAGATGGGTGGGGGGAACAGAATTCCCCAAAGTGGCATGTTTTATTTGGGCGCCACTCTGAAAAGCAACGGGCAAACTGCATCGGAATTAATCTAACATTGTGGGGCGGTTTGGAGGGATCTATCCAAATATTCTGGTGCATGGAAGCATACATCACATACTACTACGCACAGGAAGTTGCAAATTCTTCCGTCTCTGATACCACTCAGATCATGTATTCCGTCACTTCCGTTTGGTTAAACTAGTCTGAATGGCGCAGAACGGATGCGTGCCAAGCCCGATCCTTCATGAAGATCATGAACATACCGCATTCGTATTGGTCGCATGTGGCAAACCAGACGGTATTTGGAACAGCCAATCAAATACCTTACAGCACACTGCTGCTATGACATCAAACTCTTTCGTCTCGTAAAATGTTAGAACATGCGACGAGGACGTACGGAGACAAGTCACATTCTTACCCGTTTCGGTCTTATCAGTCAATACCCAGGAGACCCGGAAGGCCCAGGAACGAGTGGGCCAAGTGCCTGCGCGATCGTCTTCTGACCCGCTTCAACGCAAAAAGGGGACTGGCGGAATGCCTTCGCGACGCGACAAAATTGTAAGATTTCACGTTGACCTTTACAGCCAGTGAAAGACAATCAGATGTAGATCTGCACTGTTTGAGCGAGTCGTTGTTCGCGTGAGTTGGCAGAGCCGCCCTGCCGCTCTTCCCCGCCTGTCCTTCTTCCCACCCGCACACAATATAGCTGAAGAGTCGGTCGGCGAGCCGCTGCCCCCGCAAAGCGGAGAGTATTGGCCGGCATCGTCTCTTTTCGCCTGCGCGCTCCAGCGTATGTCGGGTATAGCCAGGACCCCGGGTAAAGGGACCCAGTTAGTGGTAGGGCCCTGGGGCCTCTCAGATTCACCAAACCAGGTTTGTCGTAATTGGTGTTTTCCGGGTGACGGCAGTTCCGGTTAGTCCGGAAGCTGAAGGCATTTTGGCTTCATTTGGTGATTATTCCTTATACGTTTCACCCCTGCTCACGCACCGTCTGGTGCAAGGCGTACTTGACTTGACTTGACTTGGCAGTTCTGGTTAGTGGAAATGGGACGGGGGGGCGCCCCCGGTACAAATCATTAAGCCAGGTTCCACTAAACCCAGTTCCGCCAACGCCCGAGTATGGCTCGACTGCTGGAACGGGGGCCGTGGAGACTCCAACCTCCGCATCTGTGGGAGTCTCGACGGATGCTGCATGGCGGCCCGCCGTGTGGGAAGGCCGGGGTCACGGGGAGGATCAGGAGGGGAAAAAGCACGCAGGCACAATTCATCGTCGACTCCCAGGAAGATATGGGAAATTACGGGGAGTGGGGGGGAAGACAGGAACATGGGGCATCTTTTTATTTGTGTGTATTGACTTGTGTATCCTGGGGCCCCTTTTGATTTGTGTGTCCTGGGGCCCCTTTTGAAGACAGACGCCCAGAAAATATTGGGAAATAGGGGGGATCTTTGCATTCGTGTATATTTCTATGTGTGTCCTGGGGCCCCTTTCAAGGAGTCAATAGGGCAACGCGCTCGGGGGGGCAGGTCCCCCGGGGGCGCCTCGACCGCGCGGCTCGAGGTCGATCCAGGCGGCGTCGCCGGCCCTCGCGGCAGTCGATCGCAGCCCCGGGGGCGCTTTTCCCAGCAGCGGCGCGCCTCGCCGGGAGCGTTCCGCGGGGGGTGCCGCGGGCGTCCCGGGCGGCGACCAGCGAGCCGAGCTGCGACCCGAGGAGCGCGGGAAGGAGGAGGAGGAGGAGGAGGAGGAGGAGGAGGAGGAGGCGGAGGAGGAGGAGGAGGAGGGGGAGGAGGAGAGAGGAGGAGGAGGAGGAGGAGGAGGAGGAGGAGGAAGGAGGAGGAGGAGGAGGAGGAGGAGGAGGAAGGGGAGGAGCAAGGAGGAGGAGGAGGAGAAGGAGGGGGAGGAGGGTGGGGGGGGGCTGTGGCGGAGGCGCATCGACCCCCCAGTCGCCCGCTCATCGCCCACAGAGTCCCGACGCCACCCCGCCCAGGCACGTGCGGTTTCGTCGTCGGGGGCGCGTCGGCGGTGTATCGCCGATTGAAGGTCGAGGTTGCCCCAGGATGAGCTGGTCCCCACCAAGCGTTCTCGCTCCAGGACGCGGCGGAGGAGGAGTAGGAGGAGGAGGATCGCAACTGTTCGTCTCAACGGGGATCATGTCGACCCCAATCATCGACTTTGTCGACGGGGCAGGAAGTCGGGAGACAACCGCAGGGATATACCTCCGATGGGGGCGCGTCCATCCTCGAGAGGAGTGCGTCCCAATGGTCTCCCAGGGTGGGTATCGCAGAGTTTCCATTTTTTCCTTGGTGGCCAATTTGTTTTGAGGGGGAATCGGGGGTTGGGGGCGAGAAGTTGTTTGCGAGGCTGCGAGGGTTGTTTTTTCTCTAGCACGGCCAAGCACGGTCGGGCGTTGCGCGATGGGGGGGCGATGGATCTGGGGGGTGTGAAGACAGGTGCACACCTTGTCCCTTTAAGGGGCCCCGAAGGGACCCCCTATGGGGCCCAAAGCGTGGAACGAAAGATGCACGTTTCCCCCCCCCCCCCCACCCCCACCCCGCATTCCCAGACCCCCGACGCCATGTTTTTTTTTTTTTTTTTCATTACGTCGACACCCGAGGTCTGGACCCATTCCCCGGGACCGGTTTCTCACCCCGAGTCGTTTTTTGACGGTCCCGGGGCCCGGTACAGGCCCCCGCGGAGGCCAAAAGTGGCGAAAGCCCCCCAGTCATGATTTTGTCATTGTTCGAGAAGGTTTGGGTTTGTATCGCCCCCTCCCCATCAACGAACCCCCGGCACGGTGGTGATGTAATGGAGGATGACGATTCATAAATGACCGGGGGTCGTGTTCACGCGGCGGCGCCCGGGACGACTCTCAGAAAAAGCTGGCCGCGGGCTGGACAATTATGCCTTGAATCGTTCTCTTCCAGTCAGGAAATTGTGCAGAAATATCGGGGGAGCGTAAGACACGGGTTTGCCAGGACTCGGGTTCGCCATCGTTTTTTTGACGACCGCGACTCGGATTCTGACGAGTAGGAATTTCGTGGGATGTCTGCAGCGGGAGGCCTCGTCAAAATGCAGGCTCGGCCTCGCCATTTTTTGACGACCTCGTCGGGGATTTCCGAGTCCCCTGTACGCCCCTGAAAATAGCAGGGAACTATGTTTTAATCGTTCTCCCCTATTTTTTATGAATCGTCATCCCGCATGATGGACTCCTTCGGCGTCTTCGGCGGGCCCTCCGCCGCGCACGCGCCTCCGCGGCGGACCGGTCGCGCCGAGGCCGCCGAGGCGGGCGAGGCGACGACCCCCGCCGGCGAGGAGGCGCTCAGGGGGAGGCCGACCCTGACCTTCCAGGAGGGCTTAAAAAATAGCACGCGACTTAAACACATATCCCAGAGCTATTCTATGTCTTGGTTTGGGGCTGTCTCGCTTCGTTGTTTTAGGTTTTTAGGCCTCCCGTGCCAAAAGATAGCTCTCGGGAAGGTCAGGGGAGGGGCGGAGAGGTGGGCGGGCGATGCTCGAGCAAGGGCCAGAACTCTTGGCTCGCCTGTGGGTCCAGTGTTCTCTAGGAACCGTCTGTGGTCTGCACGGCATGCTCTGAGAACATGTTGTTGCGGAGCCTGTCTTGCTGGACCACATCGGGCCTCTGTTCTGTCCAGCTATTCAAGCATACTTGCGGGGGTTCTGCCAGCATGTCGTGGTATAGGCCTGCAGGACTGCCGGGACTGCCGGTCCTTGCTCCAGATGCGTCGCGCCGGGCTGTCGGGGGAGCTCCGCCGGCTCGCCCCTCGAGCGCGCGCCTCGAGGGTGCCAGCGCGGAAGGCCGCGCGCC